ATTTTAATCGCCTTGAATTTTGAAATTAAAGTTGGACTCTAATTTGATATTTAATTAAAATTTGATTTTAATTAAATAATCTCACCCTATAATTGTGAAACTAGAGTTAGACTTTAATTCGGTATTTAATTAAAATTGGATTTTAATTAAATATGGCCGCTTATTAAATAATTGATTAATATGATTATTTAATTATTTAATTATTCTGATCCATTAGTCTAAAAGAGTTTAGACGATCTTAATTGCTAGAAACTTGAAACATGTTAGGATATAATATTATATATTATATATACATACATTTATGTGATGAATGTATTATTAGTGGATGATTATGGACTCGACCATATGGATGTGTTGAATGGTTGAATTTTATTCTTGTTGTTTTGTGGGCCCGCGAGCCCGTTATTATTGTTATTATTTTGGGTCTGTTAGCTCTTGATCATTTTGGACCTGCGAGTCCGTTATTATTATTGTTGCTATGGGCCTGCGAGTCCAATTTCTTTTAGGCCTGTGTGCCAACTAGTATATGATACATGTTGCAATTGGACTAATTGAAGAAACAAGAAGAGGAGGAGACCATGGAGATGGTGCATTGATACTGTTCAATGCTATATCCCCTAGGAATTGACCAACTAGTCTTCCTTATGACTCGAGAAGACTAGATAGTAAAAGTCCATTATCGTCCACACTATTATATTATGTTATATATATATATATATATTATTGTTTTGATGAGACTTTTAAATGCAAAATCCCTCCACAAAATATTAAGTTACATTTATGATTGCCTTCCATCATTATAGTGAAAAATCAGAATCCCAAATCGTCTCAACTTGTTGAGTACACTCAAGGCTGGTCTATTAGGGATATGTTTGACACTATGAAATATTAGATATTTCTAAATGATGGGTTCGACTTAACTAAAATTTATCTTTTGTTGAGTACACTCAAGGAGATAAATTTTAGAGGCATATTAAGCTAACACATAAGATGTGTGAAGACAAAGATTTGTCAGTTTAATGATCTGGGAGTTGTATGGAGATACAATTGATAATAGTATCTACCCAAATGTTATGTTAGGGCTTGTTTAGTACACTCAAAGTCTTAATATAATAGATACGATCTCAGCCCACTGGAAGTCAAGCATGGACTCCATAAATTTATGTAAGAGGGTTATAAATTTTAATTAAACAGTGGGAGCATAATTAATTTAATAAAAGTCCATGTTAAATTAATTGATGTATTTTATATATCATTCTTTCTTTTTCCGTCATTTGAGTAACCATACGTATTTGAATGGCATACTAGATGTCAACAACCAAACTAGATTTTCTTAATTGACACGTCAAGTTGAGAATTGTTCTCATGCACGAGAAAATTGGTCACGTCCTTGAGTAACCCTTTCCAGAGACACCTGCTGATGACTCGATTAAAGAAGAGGTGGCTACCGAAATAAACGTAGTGATGACAATAGTACTGCAACGTATGTGATACTTGCAACTATGTCACTGAATTACAAAAGCAAGTTGAGAGTATAGATGTTAACACATAATTCTTCATTACAAAGAGTTGTATGATAATAATCATGTGTGGAAGGATATGAGACTTCCAAACAACTATACCGGTGCAAAATGACAGAGTAATCTTCAATCGATACTTAGACATTGAAGATGATTAACGTTGAGAAATGTCTCAATTGAGTTCAATCATAAACCATGAACTAAGTAGTGACTTGGTTCTGCAATCTCTGTCAGAGAAAACTATTCATAACTAATTATGAATTTAATGTGAATAAGCTTGAATGCACAATTATTGAGTTGCTTAACTTGCTTAAGACTGTTAAGCCCAACATCAAAGTTAGTAGCGGGCAAGCCATTGGTTCCTCTAAAGATATTAAGAGGAAGTCTAAAGGGGCTTTGTGAAAGTGCCCAAGATGGTTGAGACCGTCAAAGCGAAGGACAATACCAAATCTAATGATCCTTGGTTTCATTATAGAATGAAAGGTCATTGGAAAGAATATTACGTGGCTTATCTCTACTTCAAGAGTTTCTTAGGTATTTGATACCAGATGTAGATCTCATATTTATACAAATATGGAGAAACTAAATAGAAGTAGGTCACTGCGAAAGGAAAAAGTTAACCTACACGTCGAAGATGAGCAAAGGTTGCTGCATTACCTGTACGAGCATACTTCTTGCCGTTGCTTTTTGACTTAGTAATGAAATTAGAGAAATGTTGTTTTGTACCCACCATAGCTGGAACATTAAAATGAATTTTATGTTCAGACATGAACCATTTTAATATTAAGGACAATTGTTGTTCTTGTTTATCTTGATAAAGATCCTAATAGCTATGGTAAATTATAAAACGACATTTATATTCTTTAATACTAAGGATTCTATAATGAGTATAGAAATTAAAAGGCATAAATGTGATAATCTAATTATTACGAAAATTTGGCATGACAGACGTTGTCATTTAGATGAAATGTAATTCCAAAGTTAGATAAAGATGTATACTTGGGGTTAATTGATTTTGACAAGTACAAATTATGCATGTCTGGCACATTGATCAAATCTTCTTTTACTTGAAAAGAAGAAAGGTCAGCATAATTACTGGTCTAATGCATGGTGATGCATAT